ATTTGGGGTCGGGAAGGAATTTTCCTCCAGGGTAGATTGGCAGAGGCCCTGGAGGTTTTTTGCCTTTCTCTGTAGCATGGGGCACAGATCACAGCTGGAGGACTCTCTGCATCTTGGGGCCTTCAAAGTATTTGAAGGCTTCAATATCTGAGATATAGGTGAGAGGATTATTCTAAGAGGGGTGGGTGAGATTCTGTGGCCTGCACTGTGCAGGGGGTCAGACTAGATGATCATAATGGTCCCTTCTGACCTTAAAGTCTATGAGTGTTTCTTAAACTGTGTTCCGTGGCACACTGGTGTGCCGCGAGGCAGGCGTAGGTAGTGGAAAACAACAGGGTTCAAAATGGACGCTCTTAAAGGGACAGACAACTTTTTTGCTCAATAACTTCCCCCCAACCCTTTTTTTTCCCCTCAACAAAAAATCTTTGGTGTTTCTCATAAAAAAAAATAAAATTGTTTGATTTTCCTCAGTCTTAAAAAGTTTAAGAAACACTGCTTTAGAAGCATACTTTGCTAGTAGGCAGTAACAACACAGTTGGTACTTCGATGCATATAATATCATATGTTTATCAGCAATTTTTTTTATCAGTGTGACATATCGTTCTGGGGAATTTGCATGTCAGTTGTGAGGCAAAGAAAATCAGAGTTGTCACAGAGTAGAGCTTTTTAAAGATCATTTAAAAAAGCGTAAAGTGAGGTTATATGTATTACAGTGAGCAGAGTTGTGTGTATATATAAAAATAAAGTGGTTTTCGTTATTGTTCCATGTTCAAAGTATAGGTTAGTAGCAGCGTCTAAAGGTGCCATGTAATGCTAGGTGCTGTACAAACATAATTGGATGTGGTCTCTGTGCTGAAGAGCTTGGTACCTAATTAAAGACAAGCTATAAATAATTATAAAAACAATATTTAGAAAAGCAAAGATGGCAGTAATGAGATTATGTAGTAACATAAGTTAGCAACGCTTAAAGCTTTGATTCTGAATCCATCAATTCTTTTTTTGATAAGCCATAAGCCCCTTGTTTCCTATAGTTGTTTCTGTTCCTTCCTACTTCCCAGGAAAAAAAGATGTGAGGTCTATTGCCTGTTATTTGAGGCCACAAATGCAAATTATTTGTCAGGCTTTCAACCTTTCACCTCTGAAATTCACTTTAAGACAGACTTGAATTGGGTTAATTGTGAGAGATTTCCTTTCCGTGCTATAGTAAAGTATTGCTGTTAGTCAGCATTACTTATGCCTTTAATGAGATAATACAATAAATTAAACACTGATGTTTTAACCCCTTACTTTGTCTTATTTTATCCTTTAGATTTGATTTCATACCACTTATTTTAATGCTTTCTTTCTCAAAGAAACTTGAGTACTTGGCTGGTCAGTAATTAACTATGAAGCCACATTACCTTTGTTTAGGAGATTTACTTCCTTCAGGTTAAAGGAAGTTATTCTTTTGTATGCACTGGTTAATTATAGCAGGATTGGGCAAGATGCAGCCCGGGCGCCGGATTCAGTCCGCTTCGCTCTTGGATCCAGCCCGCAGGCTACATCTGGTTGCTTTCTATTTATATCCTGCTGCCTGTGGCACCAAATTTCCAGGCGGTGGCTCAGGCAGCAGTATCCTATTTAAATGGCTCCTGACTCCTAAACATGGCGCTATCCTGGCAGGGACTGGAGCCACGAGTCTTTTAAAAAGCCCCAGATTGCTGCCAGGCAATGCAGTAGTAACAGGGCCGTGAGCCCTTTAAATTGCTGCTATTAAAGGGCGGCTCGCAGCTCCTGACCCCACTGCTACCGAATTACCTGGCAGGGTTACTGTGACTATTTATAGGGCTCCTGGTCATGGCACTACCCTGACAGGGGCCAGAACCATGAGCCCTTTGCTCTGTTTGTACTTCAAAGCCTCTGACCCCAGACAACTCTGGGGGAAGGCTAGTCCCCAGCCCTGTCCCTTCTGTCTCAAGCCCCTCCCTTTCTGGGTGAGGTGGAGCCAGCCAGTGACCAGTACCAAAATTCATTAAGTGGCCCCCACATGAAAATTATTGCCCACCCCTGAGTTATAGGAATGACCATGACTCCAAGTCATGTTCAGCCCAGTTCCCCTGTAGAGATACAGCTGTAGATTAATGTGGGGAAATTGAATACAGGTTGAACCTCTCTAGTCCTGCACTCTGGACGTGACCGGTTCTGAACAAGAGAATTTTCTGCATCATGAGAGGTCAGTATTACCAACACTAGCAGCATTACCAACACTTCCACTGCTTACTGGGCTGTTAGACAACATTTAGAGGTAAATGAGAGCTAAATAACAACACAGAATGCTGAGAGGACTAGTGGTTGTAGACAAATGTTATAGGACCACAAGAAACTTGGCCACACCCACGGAAAGGGGACATCCAGCTAACTAAAATCATTCTGGATGTTTCCTGACCAGAAAGTTCTGGACTAGAGAGGTTCAACCTGTACAAATATCCTGCATGGGTACTTCCAAAAAGCAATAAAAAGGCAGAGTCCAGCTCTGCTAAAACACAGACCAAAAGAAGGAAGTGAGGACATGAGGATTATTAAATAAGAGATCATCAGCTTTTGACTAGGAAGAATGTCTTTAAAATCTTAATATATAGCTATGTAATTTTTCCTTACCCAAAGAGGCAATCAGTATTGTTCAGCAATATTGAAAGTGTATTTGTAGAGCTCTACAAATCTGCAGATATCTGCTTTATATCCACGGATATCCGTGGCTCGTTATTGCGGATGTGGATATAAATTTTGTATCTTGAACAGGGGTGGCCAACCAGTTAGAAACTAAGAGCCAAAATAGCTGTGGGTAGAGTGCAAAGAGCCACGTATTATATCTTTATTTTATATATCTATCGATCGATAGATAGATATAGTACACAAAATATAGTGATAAAAATAACATTACAGGACATTTCAGTTCTGTTGTAGAATACCTGACAGTTATCTAGTCTGATGATTGGCTACTAATGACCAGTTAATGATTTACTGATTGGCTCACATTCAGCACTAGGGTACAAATTTAAACATATACAACAGGCAAATGAAAATTAGTAATAGACAACAAATATTAACAGACCATTTACTAAAAACCAATAAAAAAAAGTCTCTAGTCACTTAAAAAAATCATGGCCAGTCCATAGATCTTCAGAGAACTTGACAAGGAACAAACATCAAATTAAAAAAAAAAAAAAAAACTTTGAAAATATAGTAATATTCTCTCTAAAAAATAAACATCCCCACCATGTATCTTAAATTTAACACGATTTCCCTATTATGTCTTGTGAGTTTTTAAAAATTAAACTGAACTGTGAAGTAAATTAGCACAATTTGAAGTGTCTGTTTTTATCCCAACTTGTCGATCTCTGGTATGGTTTCCTCATTGTTTTTACTTATGAAGATTATGGCTTTTATGACAGATTCAAAAACAATAACGGAGAGACTTATCTCAAAATAATTGCTTCAGTCTGGCAAACAATATAGCTTTGACTTTTTTTTAAAGAAATACAGTGTAAACTAGGTACTGGCTGATTCTTTTTTTTGCCCTGGTATTTAAATATGACATCTGTGTTGGCTGCCTTATTCTGCATCCATAAAGACTTTTGAGTTTGAGGTACTTCAGCCCCTCCTTCCTCACACTAACCCAGTGCACCCACCCAGAGCCAGGCACCCCCAGCTTTCCTGCTCTAACCCAATGCCCTCGCCCTCCCCCAAACCCAGGCACCCCCAGCCATGCCCCCGCTCTCTAACCCAATGCTCTCCCCCAAAATAGACTATTTCGAAATAGCACATTTACACTGCAGGGAAGCCTCAAAATTAGTCCAAGATAGCATGTCTACATTAGAGGAGCCTATCTCGATTTAGAGTCCCAAGAGGCATTGGGGAGGAATAACTTAGAATGGCCCTGGTGAGGGGCTATTTTGATATAGCAGCAGTGGAGCATGAATACATGCCTTATTTCAAAATAACTATTTCAGAATAGGCGTCTTTCCTCTTAGAACTAGCCAATTAGCATGTTATAAGATGGGATTTTCAGGTCTCTCCTCCATGTCAGTCTTCTCTCCTGAGTCTCCGGTCTCTTGCTCTGTCTCTCTCTCTCTCTCTCTCCTCCTCCTCCTACTGCCTCCCCCTTTCTCTCTCTCTGTGTCTCTCTTTCTCTTCTCCTCCCCCTTCTGCCTCTCACTTGGGGGACTGCGAAGCCCAAACGGCCCAAATGGTCACCGCCCTGCCCCCCTTCGCCTTCCACCGTGGCGCTCGGCTGACTTCTGCGCTGCTCAGCCGGGCCGCCTCAGGGGAGCAAGCGTGCTGAGCGGCGCAGAAGTCAGCCGAGCGCCACGGCAAGAGGTGAAGGGGGGCAGGGTAGTGACGTACGTGGCCAGCCCCCGCTCCCTGGCCATGTACGTCACTGCCCCGCTCCTCTTCCCCTCCTGCCATGGCACTTGGCTGACTTCTGCACCATTAAGCTGGGCCGCTGCAGGGGAGCAAGCGGCGCAAGCAGGCTGTGCTCCCCATGAAGCATGGGCCGCCCAGAGGGAACAGCCAGCATTTCAGGCAACAGCGCCGCCCAGAGGGAACAGCCAGTATTTCAGCCTTACAGACTCTGACGTTGGGCTACTATATTCCTCTTAGAAAGAGATTTACAGATTTCGGATTATGCTGTCAGTTACTTTGAAATAACAGAATGGCTGTGTTGATGCTCACATTATTTCGAAATAATGCTGATTATCTCAAAATAATGGGCAGTGTAGACGCACCCTAAAATACTGTTGTTTAGCATGAGGAATTCTTTGTAGTGTTTATGTTTGCGCTTAATTAAGCCTGACATATGAGCACTGTTATGATTTTTCCTAACATCTTTCATGAGGTAGCTCTTGATTGGGAGAACGATGGTAAAGGCTGCAATAAAAATAAAATACCATATGGCTTACAGCTGATGTTTTCCAAAAAGCTGCAGCTTGCTGCTATTTAACTATTATTTTATTTTCTAGCCATTTCATCCTATGGTCAATTTGGAGTGCTCCAGGGATTTTCGACCATTTCTATGTGCCCTGTATGCTCCAGTCTGTATGGAATATGGACGTGTCACTTTGCCGTGTCGCAGGCTTTGTCAACGTGCATACAGCGAATGTTCCAAACTCATGGAGATGTTTGGTGTCTCCTGGCCAGAGGATATGGAATGCAGCAGGTTAGCAGATCTCTGTTTGTTTGGTTTTTTTCAGAACCACCATCTAAAAAATGTAATGTGTTCCAGGATGTTTTAAAATATCTTTTTCCAGTCCAGTAATATGTTTTCCATTACAAACAATAACCCTATTTTTCCTTCCTTTGTATAGTATATTACCCTGTTTCCTGGGAAGGAAACAACTTTCATGTTTCTCTCACTACACACATGTCCAAAAAGGCCCATGCCCCCAAAAACATTTATGTGATTAGGATAAACTAAGTATGCATATTTTTAAGGGAATTAGTATGCCAATTCCATTTTATTTTCTCTCTGCCCCCTCCTCCCACCAGTTTTGACCAGTGCACCAGTCTGGTTAAAGCTGTATTAGATAGATAGCTATAGATGACATTTTATACCTTTTTTAACCTATTCCTGTAAAACTGTACTTATTTGAGGTCATGACAGTTTTCTTTTGTGTTTTATGGGAGAGAAAAGTATCATTCTAAAAAACCCCAAGTTCATATTTTAAAAAGCAAGCACCACTGGGGAGAATGCAAACAAAACATTTCTGTTGTACTTTAAGGGGGTAGCTTTGTGGCACGTCTTGAAGCACATTCTGCTTCAGACAGAGTACATGCATACTGTGTGCAGCTGACATTTGCTTTCCTCCTGGGTTTTGATTTTTATTGGTCACTCCAGTGGTTATAATGAAACACAGATAAGAGGAAATGGGCCCTGACTAAACTTGGGAGGGAGCTGACTTGGAAGCTCTGTAGATCTGTGGTGAGGTCAAAATTAAGGCAGGTCAGAAGGGTTTTGTTGTTTTGTTTTGGTTTTTGCCAAAGCATTGGTACTGTAAAGGGTCCATTGTGCTAATTAGGGATGTTAAGTGGTGTTTCAACAGCTGATCAACTAGTTGATGGCATTTCCATTGACTAGTTGATTAGTTGATGGAGAGAAGACTGCAGAGCCACAGCAAGGTTAGCTCCCGGCCCCAGGAACTAACCCTGCTGCAGTTCTGTCTTTTAAATGTATTAAGAGCCAGCAGGCTCTTAATACATTTAATAGGCTGAAGCACAGTGGGAGGGTGGGGGGTGGGCATGAGCTTGGAATCAGCTGTCTTGGCTCGCTTTTCAGCTTTTTAAATGTATTAAGAGCCACTAGGCTCTTAATACATTTAAAAAGCACAAGCGCCGCAGGGGGGCCCAGGTGTGAGCTGGAAATTAGCTGGCTCGTGCCCGGTCCCTGCTATGCCTCTGCCTCCTGTGCCACTCTGCGGAGATGGTGCCAATGGGGGAACCAGCTTTTAAGCTGGCTCCTCCCCAACACCACCTCCTGTTCTCCTGCCCCTTGCTGCGTCTCTCTGTGACTAGTCGAGTCACTAGTTGCTTACATCCCTAGTGCTAATGAGAGTTCAGGGGAAACTTTGGGACCCCAATGGTCTGGTACAAAGACTACCTCAATTTTGGACTATGACGAGATCTAAATCATCCTATTTCTCAGCTCCCTTTCCGGAGAATATGGACATCATTCCCTGTCTGCTGTATCCATTAAGTCCCACCCATTCCATCTGCTTTTACTTACTGCATTAGGGAAGATATACAAAGAAAATAATCAGTCTGCTATACAGCCTTAACTGTGAGCCAGTTGGCTTTTAGCTCATGTACTAAGCTCCAGCAATCCCAGGTTTGATTGTGCCTGTCAGCGTTACATGGACACTGAGGGTACGTCTAGACTACATGCCTCTGGCGACAGAGGCATGTAGATTAGGGTACCGGACATGGTAAAATGAAGCGGCGATTTAAATAATCGCCGCTTCACTTAAATTTACATGGCTGCCGCGCTGAGCCGACAAACAGCTGATCAGCTGTTTGTCGGCTCAGCGCGGCAGCCATGTAAATTTAAGTGAAGCGGCGATTATTTAAATCGCCGCTTCATTTTACCATGTCCGGTACCCTAATCTACATGCCTCTGTCGCCAGAGGCATGTAGTCTAGACGTACCCTCAGTGTCCATGTAACGCTGACAGGCACAATCAAACCTGGGATTGCTGGAGCTTAGTACATGAGCTAAAAGCCAACTGGCTCACAGTTAAGGCTGTATAGCAGACTGATTATTTTCTTTGTAAGTGGTCTCAGAGCCACTAGATGGGACGGTACACAGTCCCCAGCAGGTGTGTGGGTTACATCAGTGCTCTGAAAGTCCAATGGCAACTATTGTTCAAACTACTTTTTACAGCATGTAACATTTTTTTCCGTAATTCCTCTATCCTTTAGTTCATGTAAAAGTTTTATTGGTCTCCACATGGAGTTCCATTGAGCATTCGTTACTAGTTTCAAATATATGTAAAACATTTTTGATTTTGTCTTGTAATTCATGCTTGATTTTTCCCAAAAGATAGTTTTTAAACTTAAATCCTGCCTAGTCTAACTTTCCCATTACCCCATTACTATTACAAGTACAGTAATTCTGTTGACAATGTTGTCAGTTGAAGCATTCAAAAGTCACCAGACAGACCTTCAAATTGTGAGGGGTTTTTTAATTGCATCTTTAAGCACATAAAATTTGGATCTCTTTGCTGGCTGCTCAAAAAAGGACTCCACTTACTCTCTCCTAGCCTCCAGGTTTGGAAGCTGCTATTCAGTTAGCCTTCCCTCTTCCTTTATTGCTCTCCTCAGTAGGAGGACTAGGACTTGTCGACTAGTCGCTTCCCCTCTCCCCCTTTGCTGCCTCTATCAGAAAGAGGCAGCAAGCAGGAGGAAAGAGGAGGAGGTACTTCAAAGTCCCCCGTGCCCCTGCCGCTTTGAAAAGCACATACAGCCCGGAGCCAGCTGGGGACTCCCCCACTGACCCCAGGCTCCATGCGGCGTTGCTGCTTTAAAATGCCATGTGCAGCCTGGGGTCAGCAGGGGAGTCCCCAGCTGACCCCGGGCTCCATGTGGCGCTGCTGCTTTGAAATGCCATGAGGAATCTGATGCCAGGCTCCCCACAGCCCTAGGGTTGTTTCTGTACTTCAAAAGCAGAGATGCCCTATTGACTAGTCGAATAGTCAATGCAAAATGCATCAACTATTTGATTAGTCAATTACTCGCAATTTAATACCCCTGTTCCTCCGCCCCCATTCTTTGTCCTCATGTACATCTTCAGTGTTCCTCCTGCTTTTCATGTTCTTGTGTTCTACCTCATTTTTCTCATGAACCTCCTCACCTTTTTTCCCATGCATGCCAATATTTCCCCTCCACTGGTTTAACATGGGATCAAATCAAGACTATTGCTAAGAATAAAGAGATGGAGAATGACAGTGGAGGCCCTATGCTCCATTAGGAGCTCAACGGACTAATAGTTAGCATTACCTTGGCCTAGCCCACATTCTCCTGTTCCTGGTTCTTCACATTCCAGTATCTCCACTCAGTCTCTTGTTTACCATGTTCTCCTGCTCCCTTTCTTTGGCTTTTCTTCTGATCCTCCTCCTTGTCTCCTCAAGACTAACTTCAGTTAGCCTATAAGGTGCCACAGGACTCCTCACCGCTTTTGCAGATTCAGACTAACACGGCTACCCCTCTGATACTTGTCTCCCCAGTGTCTCTCTAGATCCCTAACTATAGTGGCTTTAGTCTTACTGAAAACAGTGAGTGTCGGTGACCATGTTTCCTCTAATTTTTTCCATCCATGTGCAGAATAAATGTTATGTGCACAGAAGTGTATGCAGATGTGTACCATCTGTGGAAACACATGCTGCCAGCTGTGGGCACTCTGCTAATCAGTTGGGCAGCATTTGAATCTTCCCTGGTTAGGCCACTCAAGCACTCAACTTACAGGGAATACTGTTGGTGGCTATAATACAGTAAAACTCCAGTTGTCCGGCATCCAGTGATCCGGCCACAGCAGCAACACCCCAGCTGCTCTGCCCCAGATGTCCCTGATTCAGCCGGTGCTGAAACTGACCAGTGACTGGTCAGTTTCAGCAGCGTCTGACTTGGGGACACCTGGGGCAGAGCAGCTGGGGTACTTGCCGGGTTGGTCCCACAGCGCCGCCTCCCCCCTCCCACCCCACCCCAGATCCCTCATAGCACCCCCTTCCGATAGTCTGGCATAGCCGATAATCCGGCACCCCCTGTGTCCTAAAGGTGCCGGATTATCGTAAATTTACTGTATTAGACAAACTTGCTTCCAGAGCATCTGCAGTCTACTTCAGAAATAATTGTCAAACAATCTGTCGTGTCTGGTATCCATCTCATTGAAAAAAATGGGAGGTTCCTGCATAAGGGAACTTTCATGAGAGATGGTAAGAATGGGGAAATCATGTGACACATTTCAAGAGTTAAAAGACTTGCAAGAAAATTGATGTGGCAACATTGGAAATTAGAGAGAGAATATTTTGGTTTTAAGAGAGGTCAAGTATAGTTGCCAGTAGTGTTTTAAAATTAAAATATTACATTTATAATATTTTTATGGCAAATTAAAGAAATCAGTTTTACAAACTCTGTAAACTGTTCATGACAGGAGACTTGGCATCTTGTTGTCTACTGCGCTAATCTCCCTCAGCAAAGCAATTATGCACATGCTAAGCGTGTGAGTAGCTTTCAGTCACCATTGAGACTATTAGGGTTGGTTTCAGAAAAAATACTGAACCTCTCCCCCCCACCCCACCCCAAAAAAAACAGTAAAAAGAAAAGGTTGTTGAGGGGGGGGGAAAAAAGGACCCCAAGAGTTCTTAAGCAAAAAATAAACAAACAAATAAAAACCACCGTGGCCCATTTAAAAACCGCGTGTGAGGCTTTTTGGCCCTAACAGGCAGCCAGCGGTCGCCTGCCATCTTACATCCCTGTGCTGGGCTGGACACCTCCCCTGCAGAACCTGGTAAGCACTAAGGTTGCCAGACTGCCTCTCTATTGAGCCTGACAGCCTGGGATTTTCACCACCTGGCCAGGAAAAAATCATAAAGTACCGGCTGTTTTAGCTGTCCGGTATTTTCTGAATTTTTTTACCGGACAGGAGGCGAAAATACCGAACTGTCCGGTTCAGTACAGGACACCTGACAACCCTAGAGACTGACAGTTTAGTCATCTACTTAACTGCCAAATCAGGCTGTACAGAGGGAGAATCATATTTATATCCATATGACCCATGGATTACATTTTTGCGTATTGCCATTTTCCATCCAGTTGTTGTTGTTTCATAAAGCTAGAGACATAATGCAGAGCAGGATAGCTAGAGTATAGGTGAATATACAAATATTATTCTATTTTATTTTTTTTCTAGATTCCCAGACTGTGATGAGCCTTATCCTCGTCTCGTAGACCTCAATTTAGTTGGCGAGCCAACAGAAGAAACCCCAGTGGCAGTGCAGAGGGACTATGGCTTTTGGTGCCCCCGGGAGTTGAAAATAGACCCTGATCTGGGTTATTCTTTCCTGAGGGTACGAGACTGTTCCCCTCCTTGTCCAAATATGTACTTTAGACGTGAAGAACTCTCCTTCGCCCGATATTTCATCGGCGTGATTTCCATCGTCTGCCTTTCTGCTACCCTGTTTACTTTTTTAACTTTTCTGATTGATGTCACAAGATTCCGCTATCCAGAAAGACCCATTATATTTTATGCTGTCTGTTACATGATGGTGTCGTTAATTTTTTTCATTGGCTTTTTGCTTGAGGACCGAGTAGCGTGCAATGCATCTAGCCCTTCCCAGTACAAGGCTTCCACAGTGACACAGGGCTCTCATAACAAGGCTTGCACCATGCTTTTCATGGTGCTGTATTTCTTTACCATGGCTGGCAGTGTTTGGTGGGTCATTCTTACCATCACGTGGTTCTTGGCAGCTGTGCCAAAGTGGGGCAGCGAAGCAATTGAGAAGAAAGCATTACTTTTCCATGCCAGTGCATGGGGCATTCCAGGAACTCTAACCATCATCCTTTTAGCAATGAATAAAATTGAAGGTGACAATATTAGTGGCGTGTGTTTTGTTGGCCTCTATGATGTGGATGCATTACGATATTTTGTTCTTGCCCCCCTCTGCCTGTATGTTGTGGTTGGAGTTTCTCTGCTGCTAGCTGGCATTATCTCCCTCAATCGGGTTCGCATTGAAATCCCATTAGAGAAAGAGAATCAGGACAAGCTGGTGAAGTTCATGATCCGGATTGGTGTGTTCAGTGTTCTCTACCTCGTTCCACTCTTGGTTGTAATTGGCTGCTATTTCTATGAGCAGGCATTCCGAGGTGTGTGGGAGACAACATGGATACAAGAACGTTGCAGAGAATATCACATCCCGTGCCCTTATCAGGTGAGGAAATTGATATGGGATATTCAAGAATGCAAAGAGATGAAAAGGGAGAGGATACTGTAGGGACTTAACTGTTTCTGCTTTTCAGCAACAGCTGCTGCTTCTGGGGGGGAGGGTTCTTGACATTATTTATGTTCTTTGAACAATGCCTTTGCTTAATCTTCAAAAAGCCAATTACAGGATAATTCTGGGGGGGGTGCAGCAAATACACAATGCACCTTTGACAAAACCTAGGAGAACTATGACCTTTTTGTGATAGACAATGGGTTTTATAATGCTTTTCTCTTTGTTTCTTGTTTGTGGGTTTTTTATGGCACCCATGAGAGGACAGAGGAAGGAGCGGATTTATGCCAATTCCAAGAGTGGGATCATAGGGATTCTCTTTGAAAGAGGAATTAAATGTTTGTTTCAAACTTTGCCCTAAAGAGAGAGATTATGTGCATCAGCATCACTGGTCTGCGTAATAACAGTTTTTAAATGATTTTGTGGTCTTCTGTAGCCGTATTTTATGATGCTTTAGTGAGTCTCAACGAGGGGTATGCATACCCTTGGGTTAGGCAAGGTCTTGCAGGGGGTACGTTAACTCATTTATATATTTGTCTAGTTGACAATGGGCTACATAAAAAGCACTAACAATCAGTACAAACTAAAATTTGATAAAGACAATGACTTGTTGATACTGCTCTATACATATACATGGAACAGTAAGTACAATATTTATATTCCAGTTAACTTATAATTACATGATAAAAATGAGACAGTAAGCAATTTTTTAGCAATAGTGTGCTGTGACACTTCCTTGTATTTTTATATCTGATTTTGTAAGCAACTATTTTTTTAAGTTAGGTAAAACTTGGGTTATCTGAGACAAATCAGACTCCTGAAAGAGGTACAGTAGCCTGGAAAGGTTGAGAGCCACTTTTAGACCACAGTTTTCCAGGTCACTTCCAGGAAACCCGTATAAGTGTCAAAAACAACTGTGTAAAAATTACCTGAAATAACCTGTTCAGAAAGTCAGTTTGTAGTTCATCCGGTTAATTTTTAGAAAACATGTTTGACTTGTATGTGTTAGTTACCACATAAGCAAATATGGAGAATACTAGATGCCAGACTCCCCACTACACTGGTTTGGTTGTGGTATAATTAGATTTAGAAAGAAGAGCAAATCAGGCACTGAGAGAGTAGTTGATTGAATGAAGCCTAGGTGTGTGTGTGTGTGTTTTTTTTTTTTAATTGTTGAATTTCTAAAGCATTCACAATGTTAGTTTCTAAGCATGATCTCTGTTTTGCATCTCAATGGGAAGCATTTTGCAATACTTCATAGTATTTGAGGGGGGTAATATAATAACATGAGTTCCATTAGGTAATTGCACTAGTATGACTACCATAGCAGTGTTCAGATCGAAAGTAGTTGAAATACCAGCTGAGTCATCAGAGATCATGATTTAGTGCTATAAAAATACCACTTAAAAGTTTGGAATACCTTGTATGGCTTGATGAAGTTCATTTATTTCTGGTAACTTTGTTTTTGCCTACATTTTTATTAGGGTGATTACTCCTCCCTTTCACCTTGTGTGAGCACTTATATAGCAGGAAATATCAGTGAATGGGTGTGTTCTGTTTCACTTGGTTTTTTGTTGCTATACTTCGCATGCTTGCAGAATAGGCGATGCTTGGAGAGGGATGCTGGTTTAATTGCCTCCCACCAGATTTCTGCTTTGCCTGCCAAGGAGAAGGAAGAAGGTTCTGTTGTTCTAACATTGCCCTGCCCTTTGGCATGTTTAGCCCCATTCCCTGGCAGATGAGCCCCAGGTGGAGAGTAAAGGAGGCAGGACGGGCTACTTCTCACACCAGCTGCTCTGGGTCACTGCTCTGTGCAGCATGGGAACTGCCTGAGAGAGACCCGAGGAAGGAGGTGGCAGTAGGCTGCCTCCTGCCCAACACACAAGTCCAGCTACCAGGGACAGGGGCTGAGCGAGCCACTTTCCCATCCAGGCTCTCTGTCAGAAAGCTGCTATTGCACAGAGCAGTGATCCTGAGCACCCAGCTTCAACCAGCATGAAAAGTTGCTTCCTCCTTCTCCCTGCCCATGCTCACCTAGCAGGGACAGGGGCCAAATGTTCTGGGGGAAGAGCCACAGCAGGGAAAGGATAGCATTCATCTCTGGTGTGGCAGGGGAGAGCGTGGCAGAACTGGGCTGGGCACAGAGAGTCTCCGAGTAAAGGAGACGTGTGGAGCATTTAAGTGTCCTTCCCTTTAGATTGTGCCCCTTCCCTCTCCTCAGTATCAGGAGGCATGAGTCCTCTAAAGCAGTGGTTCCCAACCTTTTTTATACCACGGACTGGCAAATCCATTTGCAAACTGTTGGCGGACAGGTAACATTTTGTCCTTTGACCCTTTCACTTCTGACCCCTACAGCCCATGCCAACACCCTCTTGCCCCATGATTCTACCATGACCTCACCCAACATCCCTTTGCTCCCCACCTTCCCCCCTGCAATCCCCAGAGAGAGGCTGCCCCCTCTACGGAGCATGACTGTTACTGTCACGCAGGCAGCGGGAGCAGCCATTGGCAGCACACATGCTCCCTCTTCCTTCATGCTCCCTCCTTCCCCAGATGTGTCTCGTGTCCTCATGGGTAGAGGTAAGGGGGGAGGGAGCACAGTGCCCCTGCTGAGCTGCCATCTTAACTGGATGGGAGGAGGTAGGGAGATACCTCCTGCTCCTCCACCTCCTGCTGCTGCCTCAGAACATTAGCCAAAATTAGCCACCACAGCTGTCGGAGCTGAGATGCTGTGCACATCTGGCTTCAGCTCTGGTAGCTACTGTGGTTTGTGGACTGGCACCTGTCCACAGACCAGCGATTGGGAACCACTGATCTAAAGCCTGCAGGCTTCATTGTAGTGAATCAATTGTTAGAGCATGCATACACTCATCTATCCAGAAAATTCCAGATATCCATGTAGGCATCCTCCAAAATGGCTGTAGAATTATATTAATGTAGCATTGGAAGGGCCCTTGAGAGGTCATCTAGTCCAGCCTCCTGCACAGAAGCAGGACCAAGTATAGCAAGACTAAACGTGTTTGACTAAACTGTTGTTTTCCCTCCAATGACAGGGATTCCATTACCTTCCTTGAAAGCATATACTCGTGTTTAACTGTTCTTATAGTTTAAAAGATGTTCCTACTATCTAACCTTAATCTCCCTTGCTGCAGCCCATTACCTCTTGTCCTACCTTCGGTGGAAATTAAAAACAATTGATCTGTTGTCATTAACCATCTTCAAGTATGTTAAATGATGTTATATCTGATGACAGGGATTCCATTACCTTCCTTGAAAGCATATACTCGTGTTTAACTGTTCTTATAGTTTAAAAGATGTTCCTACTATCTAACCTTAATCTCCCTTGCTGCAGCCCATTACCTCTTGTCCTACCTTCGGTGGAAATTAAAAACAATTGATCTGTTGTCATTAACCATCTTCAAGTATGTTAAATGATGTTATATCTGGTTCTCCCCCCCAGGCTAACATACCCAGTTTCTTTTAACCTTTCCTCATAGATCAGGTTTTCTAAACTTTTAATCCTTTCTATTGTTCTCCTCTGGACTCTCCATTTGATCCACATTTTTCCTTAAAAGTGGCACCCACAATTTGAACACAGCACTTCACCTAAGGTCTCACTAGTGCTGATGTGTAGAGTGAGACAGTTACCTCCTGTGTCTTACACAGGACATTCCTGTTAATACATCCAAGAATACTGGCCTTTTTTAAAGATGTATCACTCATATTCAATCTGTGATCCAATGTAATTTCCAGATACTCTTCAGCAGTGCTACCACACTGCAATTACAAAATGGGAAAAAACTGGCACATTTGATTTGTCCCTTTAAGTGAAGTACTTTGCACTTGTCTATTGAACATCATCTTGTTGACTTTAGACCAATTCTCCAATTTGTCAAGATTGTTTTGAATTCTAATCCTATCCTCCAAAGTGCTTGCAGGCCACTCCAGTTTATCTGTAGACTTGATAAGCATGCTGTCTGCTCCACTATTCGAGTCCTCAGTGAGTCAGGACACACTAAAATCCCACTAGATAAGTCCACCAAGTTTGATAGTAAACCATTTATAACTACTCTATATAGTACAGTCTTTAACTCTTTGTGCACCAACTTTATAGTAATATCATCTAGACCACATTTCCCTAGCATGTCAGGTGGCTCTGTCAAAACCATTATTAAAAATCAAGCTATATCACGCCTATCACTTTTCACTCCTGCACTAGGTCAGCAACTCTGTCAAAGAAGGACGCTATATTGGTCTTGTATGATTTGCTTTTGACACATCCATGCTGTCTATTCCTTATTATCCTATTATTCTCTAGGTGCTTATAAACTAATTATCTAATAATTTGTTCCAGTATCTTTCAAGGTATCAAAGTTAGATTGATTGGTCTGTAATTCCACGAGTCCCCTTTTTCACTTTTTTTTTTTTTTAAGATTGGTTCTATGTTACTTCTCTAGATCTCTGGGTCCTCACCCATCATTGCTCACAGTTCTGAGATTGCTTCATCTAGCTCCTTAACTACTCTAGGATGATTTTTACTCCGCCCTGCTGAGCTGAATGCATGTAATGTACCTAAATGTTCTTTAACCTGTTCTTACCCTATTTTGTCTTTGTAATGTCTAAAATTGGATGGGAAATTGCTTACTCTCAGAATTCAATTAAAAATAAGTAAAAACGTGTATTAAAGATGGAAATGTGTAGGATCTTAATGAGCAAAATTCCGTTTTGTGAAATAATGTCAGCATGTCGTAAAAATGCTACTCAAATCTCCAGCAAACCGTTAACATTATAATAGCTCAGCCGGAGTTGTTATATTGTCAATGGAAGAACAATAATGATTCTGTTCACAGTAAATTGGGTTGAAGGACCTGTAGACCCTATAGAATATTAGAAGGAATTTTCTTCTAACCCTTGAAACTTTTTTAACATAAATAGGC